CACAGCTACACTACCAACCAAGGAGCCGTCCGGTTTGGTGACTTCTACATGATGAGACACCATTGCAAGTTAGTTTGAATAATAACTGCGGCGGTTAGTATTGTTATTATTTTTTCTCCCACAACGGCCAATAAAAGGCGTGCTTGGGCGCGGTTTCTCCGGTTCGCCACGAACATTGAAGAAGAGTTTTGAGTTTAATGACAAGATATACAATCAATACCTACACGTCAAAGGGTTTGATTTTTTGTTTAAACAGAGAGGAGTTGACACGTGGATCGAGAAGTGGAGTCATCAACTTGTTGTCGCCCATTACCCTCGTCGAGGTGTCGCCAACAGGGCTATGTACGTCCTTCGTACTAACCGAGGAGATAATACGCACCAAAAGGCCGTATCTTAAGGTGGTTTTTTGACCAGGTCCGACAAACGGAACGATCGAGGAAAGAGGCGATGGGATGAATATTAAGTCATTTGGCAATATTTTTTTTTATAATTATAATTAAACTAAATTAAATTTTTATAATTATAACTCAACTTAATTACATAAATCAATACTATAAATATAATAAAATTATATAATTAATACTAATAATTAAAATTAAAATAACTAATTTATATGAACGTTAATTAATTATAACTTTAATTTTTATTAATTAATTAAATAATTAAAAACTAATTAATATATATATATAAATTAATTAATTTATAATAATTTATAATAGAATTATAATTAAAATAAATTATAATTATAATGAAATCTTAGTTAATTTATAAATAATTATATTATAGATAATTTATTATTAATATTTAATATTATTAGTTTAATTGAAGAAAGATATAAATTGAATATTATAGTTTGTATATTAAATAATCATAAATATGAAAAATAGCCTAAGGGCTGTTGTTGTGCTAATCTAGGATTTTGCGAAAGAAAGTATAGACTTTCATCCGAAAAGGGAGAGTTACTTCATTGATTGAGTTACTCCTCGTTCATATGAAACGAGTCATGAGGCGATACTGTATCACACAACTAAATGGGCCAAATGCCGTCGAGTGAGCAAAGTCGGGCAGATGGAGGGCGGGTAAGAAGAAAGACTCCTCTCTCCTCTCGTTCTCCTCTCATCCTTCTCATTCTGATTCTCTATCTAAATCTCTCTTAGATTCTCTCTTCGTCTCTCATCCAATAAATCTCTCATCTCTCTCGTCTCTCTCTCTCTCTCGCTTCTCAATATTTAGTTCTCATCTCTCTCTTCTCTCTCCTTGGTTTGAAGAAAAGTCCGAGAGGCTGAGGAATGTCGGGACGGAGGTATGGAGTGCGACGGAGGATTGAGGCTTTGAGTGATGCTCGGGTTTAGCGTTTGGAAAAGAGGTGGAGTGTATCAGAATTTAGAACCAAGCTCTGGACGGGAGGATTGACGGAAATACTGCTGGAGTATGAAGCTTCACTGAACTGTAGGGATGAACAAAGGCAACGAGATCTGGGAGGAATCGGAGCGTTTGAGAGGAGAAGTATCATCAGAAGTGTGAATTGCATAAGTGTGGGATTGAATGCTCCGAAGGGAGCGGAAGGAGACTCGGGGTTTCGGTCTGGATCGAGAGAGAAAGCATGCGTATGGGAGTGAGAGACAAAGTCCATAGACGAGTTGTCGGATCTCGCTCTCTATTTAACGATCGACATCTATGTAGGCATCCATTTAGATCGAATAGTTCGATCCACTACTTGGAAAACGTCGCTTAAAGACGTACAACTCTCGGAAAGACAGACGCGACGTCGGCTGTTATTCTACGGGATTTGATCGTAGATCAGCCTCAATCTTAAGTTAAGGAGACAGCTGCATTGAGCTTGCAAGTTAATGTTTCACGACCGCGATTATTCGGGGATCTTCGAACATATCCGAGGCTGGTTGCGAAATTTTAGGGATTCGAACGAGCAAGGTATCTAGGGATCTGCTTCCCTCTTTTGTTCTTCTACACATGGAGTGAACAAAAGATGAACATAAAACTAGTTCATCTCACTCAAAGCCTGTTGCTAGCACAGAGTTAAAAATGGATTACTCTTCAGTTGAAATGCATAAACTGTCGCATTTTCTTGATCCACCATACTATACCGAAAGCATTGCGGAAGTCTCTACAACTATTTAACAATCAACCCGACCAGATTATCATTTGCTATAAATCAAACGTGCCAACATACGCATCAACATTACATTATGCATCTTAAGATCACAAGCGATATTGTGATGGAAGAAATCTCAAAGGTACAACTTCACTATGGTCTGCCTATTCTACGTGGCACTATGCAACTGTCAGTTTATTCTAATGCCAATTGAGCCGATGACAAACAAGATCGCAAATCTACATCAGGTTATTGTATTTTTCTTAGGAATACACTTCCTCAGTATCAGTTGGAGCTCAAAGAAGCAACCTACAATTGCTCGCTCCTCCACCGAATCTGAATACCGGGCCCTCAAGGCAGCTGCTATAGAAATTGTGTGGTTACGTAGATTACTACAGGAATTCAACTTCCCAGCTTCGACTCCGACCACCATCTATTGTGATAATATCTCTGCAATTTCGTTTGCCAACAATCTTGTGTTTCATGCAAAAACCAAACACTTTGAGATTGATTATCATCATATTCGTGAGTGCATTAAAACTAATGTAATCAAGGTGCATCATTTATCTATTGCTGATCAAACCGCTGATGTGTTTACCAAAGGCTTATCTAGCATTCGCTTTCAACATCTTCGCATCAAATTAACTATTCATCCTGGAACAGTTAATTTGTGGGGGAATGTTAGAATACCAAATACAAAGGGGACCACAAATGATAAGCAGCACAACTCCACTACCGGCTGCAGCAGAGAATGTCAATATCTCCTGCAAAAACAACTACCTAAGGAAATCATAGCCCTTCATGATGATCAACGGCCAGCCTTCATTATGATGCACAGCTCTAATTCTATTTAACGTCTCGACTGTAGCTTCTCTGTTTTTTATGCAATGAATTACAAATGCATTCGGAGTTTATCTTCCTAAAACCTCCTCTGCTTTCATTTGCCTTCGTTTGCTCTTTTTACTTGTTTTGTATGCAGGTTTTCTACACTTATACTGGCAACACATTCAAACATGAAATAGTCAGAGAATATAAAGAGTGTCAAGAGTTCGACAATAGTAAAAAAAATTAGTATCAGACATTAAATGTTCCATCAAAGCCAAAAATATCGAATGATAAACAGTTGCAACAGCATTTCCATTTGACAATTGGGTGGCATAGCAACCATTGATACATAGTGGTGCTTGCTAGTTGCTACCATGGTGGGAGAAACACCTGCTATAAAAACAACCTCATATCAACTACTTATGCAAGCCACATCCTCAACTAATTTGTTAGACCGGTCGAATGGACCGGTCCAGCCGGTCCCATAGGGACCGGTTCGCATGGACAGAGGCGCAATTTCCGCCTCCTGCGCATGCATCCATCAAAGCCAAAAATATCGAATGATAAACAGTTGCAACAGCATTTCCATTTGACAATTGGGTGGCATAGCAACCATTGATACATAGTGGTGCTTGCTAGTTGCTACCATGGTGGGAGAAACACCTGCTATAAAAACAACCTCATATCAACTACTTATGCAAGCCACATCCTCAACTAATTTGTTAGACCGGCCTAATGGACCGGTCCAGCCGGTCCCATAGGGATCGGGTTCGCACGGACAGAGGCGCGATTTCTGCCTCCTGCGCATGCAGCGGAGGCCGCAAGTTTTCGCAAGCCGAATAAGAAAGATTTTTGGGGGAATTAAGAGGAAAATTTGAATGTAGGGACTGTTTAGGGATTTCCTTTTGATTTTTATGCATTAAATAGTTTGTTTTACTAGGGTTAGGGCATCTTGAATTTTGTTGAAATTTGATCTCTTAGATTTAGATTTTCTTTGGGCTCTAGCAGCGTCTAGAGATTTGGGAAAGATCGATCCTCCTCTCGAAGTGAGGATCAACTGTATCTTGCTAATTTTCGCTTCTATTTCATCAAATAATACAAATTTTTTACTGTTTTCTTGCTTTTGTGTGTATTTTTGTGGAGGATTTTTGCTGTTTTTCTAAAGATTGATAGGAATTACTTGAGATTTTCAAGTGTTTCCTATCATAATTAAAATAGAAAAAGAAAATCCATGAGTAATGTTCAACACCAGAACCAACACTTGTACCACACCACACAGTTAATCAATATTCGCTTATAGTATTTGGGCTTGGTTCTATGAATCCTCATTTTTCATTAATTTTTATCGAGTAAAGTCTTAGATGTTAAAATATATTCCACACAAATTATATTGAAAAATACTGATCTATATTACCTCAGATCTACTCCATTGTGATACTACAATGCTAATTTTATCTACACTTCCAATGTAGAAATCAGATATCTTCCTCTGATATTTTGAGAAATACGATGACATTGCAAGGTCAAGTGTACTGAATGCAAAAAAGCAATTATTTCATTGAATACGGGCCAAAGAGTCGAATAATAATAATAAACAGTTCATTAATTTACTCTTACCTCGACATTCTCGAAGACTTAAAAATAAAATGAAGGAAGATTATTCAACAATAAATTATAGTGTACAAGGGGCTAAGTTACAAGTAGATGGACCCTTTATACATGGTTCAATGAAGAGAAATTGAAAAAGAAGATGATAGGAGTACAATAAAAATTTCTACTTTTAACCAAAAAATGACTGAAAACATGTTAGTAACATCATAGCAGTACACAACAGATGAATTGGCATTTCAGCTTTTATTGATTGGTTTCCGCAACTCAAAGTAGCGACCACTAAACAAATTGATCATATAGTATGAATACATCAAAATGGATGATGAAAAATCTAACGGTCCAGGGCTAGTTTTGATATTATTTTAGTACTCGTGCAAAGTAGCACTTGCAATAAATTTATGAATTTTGTACTAGATTTTTATTGGAAAAACAGTGCTTGAGAATAAATAAGTAAAAGAATTCTGTACTCACTCGGTCTCTGTGTTGCCAATTGAAGCTGAGCTTTTGTTAAAGAGAGACCAACAAGTAGTACCAGAAACTGCAGCCTCATCACCTATCCATCTGACATCAGGGCCAGCCTCCGAGAAAATAACAGCTTTTGGCTGCAATTGATGAATGAGTTCAAACCAGGAATCAAACAAGTAAACCATGTCCTTCTCAACTTTTCCCGGTGCACCATCCAAAAAAACCTCCTGAATATCCCCATAACTGGATCAAAGAAATCAGTTAAACTAACATTTATAGAAACCAAGAATTGGAATAATTATGGTTTGTACAATCCGAAAAAGTAACGAACGAACTTTAAGTTGCTAAAAAATTTATAAATAAAAAAAAAAGGATAGAAGCAATTGTCCTGAATTAATCAGTATAATTTGACAAAATACACACTTCTGGGCAGGAATCTCTGTTAGAGAATAGAAAATGACAAGAAAAAATCCATCAGAAAATCCACGCTCCAAGGGTAAATGGCCTGGATGTCTACAAAGATTAGCAAATAATTGATGAGTTATTTGGGAACTTTATATTGATTGGATTCTTCTTTGTCATTATCTTCAAAAATATAAGAAGAGACATTTGATCCAATGTTCTCCATGGAATTAAACAAAGGCGTTACAATAAATCAAGATCGGGCATAGGAGAAAATAAAAAATGGAGATTCTTGTTAAAAGTTGATGTTGAGAATTTCTTAGGGAGGAAATAAGTTTTCCTCAGCTTCTTGGAAGAGAGGAGAATAGAGAGAGGGAAAGGGAGAGGGAGAGCAGCTGAAATCAGGGAGTTTATTGATTTAATTAACTTGTCCTAATTACATCCAAAAGAATCTATTTAAAGACAAAAAAGGGCAACACTAGAGGCAATACAAACCATATAAGAAAACAAGAAAAAGAACACCTAAAACAAACTCAAGTTCCATCAAAAACTCTAACAGTTGATTTGAATGTATAGGAGACCTTGTTGACTACATAGTGAAAGAAATAGTAAAAGCAAGATTACAATCAGTTCTTAGTAGAGAAAAAGTCTAGGAGGATATAGAGAGATAGAATTTTGGCAAAAAGTATAGGATTACAGCATGCCCGTGCTCCACTAGTGAGGCTAGACAAAATTCGGTGACACTTTGATGGGGACATCAGATCATGGAAGGTTTATCAGAGGCGTGGCCGCAGATCTACGGCCACGATTGAGTCATTGTACTTTTGATTTATTTTATGTATTTTCTTATTTCTGATGTTGTTTTTGTTTTATTTAATTTTCCGTTGTACCCTTTTATTAAGGGATGTCGTATGTAAGCCCTGAGAGCATTGTCGTCTTTTCTATTTTGAGTCTTATGTATGAAGCTATTTATAGCCCTATGTTTCTCTTTCAAAGCTAATGAATGATTAAGTGAAAATTTTGTTCTCTAGTTGACTTCTCATGAGGGCTTGAGAGTTCGGAGTGAAATTTCTAGGAGAGGGAGATTTGTGCAATACCCACCACCCTAGATAAGTCAGGTTCGTGGTTTCATCCTCTACCTCGTTCTCTCTTCCTCCCCCTACCTTCACCAACAACACTATCTCTCCCTCCACCTAGCCGCCACCTCTCCCCACCCGAACCCTCCTCCCACCCACCAATTTCCCCAATCAGTTCTTAGTAGAGAAAAAGTCTAGGAGGATATAGAGAGATAGAATTTTGGCAAAAAGTATAGGATTACAGCATGCCCATGCTCCACTAGTGAGACTAGACAAAATTCGGTGACACTTTGATGGGGACATCAGATCATGGAAGGTTTATCAGAGGCGTGGCCGCCGATCTACGGCCACGATTGAGTCATTGTACTTTTGATTTATTTTATGTATTTTCTTATTTCTGATGTCGTTGTTTTTGTTTTATTTAATTTTCTGTTGTACCCTTTTATTAAGGGATGTTGTATGTAAGCCCTGAGAGCATTGTCGTCTTTTCTATTTTGAGTCTTATGTATGAAGCTATTTATAGCCCTATGTTTCTCTTTCAAAGCTAATGAATGATTAAGTGAAAATTTTGTTCTCTAGTTGACTTCTCATGAGGGCTTGAGAGTTCGGAGTGAAATCTCTAGGAGAGGGAGATTTATGCAATACCCACCACCCTAGATAAGTCAGGTTTGTGGTTTCATCCTCTACCTCGTTCTCTCTTCCTCCTCCCCCTACCTTCACTGACAACACTATCTCTCCCTCCACCTAGCCGCCACCTCTCCCCACCCGAACCCTCCTCCCACCCACCAATTTCCCCAAGCCACTTCACCCCAAATCGCCGGCCTCCCCCTTACCCGAGCCCAAGCAAGCCGCCGGCCACCCTCTAGCCTTACCCTCTTTGGTTTTATTTCCTATTCAAGATTGCCATAATTTGGTTAGATTTTGAATTCAAATTCATCCAATTTGAAATTTAAAATCTTTCCTAAAATTATAAAATATATTTTAGGAAAGTTTCCAAAATTAAACCCTTTTGAATTTCAAATTTATTTGGAGTTAATTAATGTTTTTTCCTATTTCTTAAATTCAATTTAGGAAACCCCTAACCCCTCCCATTAATGGCCCCCATGACCATCAATGTCGCCGGCCCCTATGAGATTGGATTTGGAATCCTTTCTTAATTCCAATCCTCTACTTTAGAAATATTTCCCAAAATCCATGAACCCCCTTTTGGCTGAAATTCCCCAAGATCCCCTCCCTTATTTACTTTCTAAATCCTAGTAATAAGATTTGTAAATAATACTCTCAGCCACCCCAAGCCCTCTCTCTCTCTCTCTCTCTCTCTCTCTCTCTCTCTCTCTCTCTCCACATTAACCCCACTTCCCTTCTTGAGATTAATTTCAAACATAATTCCTCCAATCGCTCACAATTAAAAATCTGAAATTTATTTCAGATTTCTAAATTGTTCTTCCCCTTTTACACCAAACTTCTCCTCTCCCAACCCTCTCCCTTGGCCGGCCATAACTCTCCACCTCTACGTCAAGTAAGAAACCCCTGTCGTTGACCATACTATAAGATGCGCTTTTTTTTGGGCAAGAAACCCCTGTTGTTGACGATACTATAGATGAGTAATCAATTCAATTCTTGTGGGTGGATAGCTTTTACAATTAGGGAAGTTTATGGGTCCTCTTGGTTGAGTTGATTATGGCTTCATTTGGGATGGCATTCTAACTACTTCTTAAAATATTTTTTAGTACAAGAATTTTTGTACTAGAAAACTATTTTAAGAAGTAGTAAGAAAGCCGTCCCAAATGAAGCCTATATGTAACTTTCAGAGACTCGTAGCCTTGGGCAACTTCAACCTTGATAAGCATGGAGTAGCCTCGTGACCTGGTTCAAGCTATTGAGATAACTAGACCAACCTAACCCAAATGAATATGGTTACAGAAGAGATGCTTCAAAAGTCCAGTTTGGCACACAAAACCTAACACCTAAACAAACACGACCCATCAAGCTTCACCTCTCGAGCAAAACCCACAAATAACCTCCCGATTGACCAAATCCAACAATAATCCGAAAGCAACAAGTTCTACTGGAAACAAAGGAGAAAATTCCCCTACCTAGTAAGCAATTCCGTCATCTGCCCCAAATAGTACTCATTGTATTCCAGTGACTTTCCATAACAAGGCTCGTGACGATCCCACGGCGACAGGTATATACCAAATCCAAGACCGAATTCGTGAGCTGCGGCTGCAAGGTCAGCAACTATGTCACCCTCACCAGAGCTCCAAGGGCTAGAGCGGACAGAGTAATTAGTGTAGGAGGAAGGCCAGAGACAGAAGCCGTCATGGTGCTTGGCAGTGAGGACGACACGAGAAAATCCCGTGGCAGCGGCGACAGCGGCCCACTGGCGAGAGTCCAGGTTTTTAGGGAAGAAGATGGAGGGATCTGCGTGGCCGGAGCCACACTCGGAGTCTGTGAAGGTGTTAGGACCGAAATGGAGGAACATGGCCATTTCTCCCTGCTGCCATGCGAGCTGGGAGGCCGAGGGAAGGGGAAGAATGGGAAGGGGAGGGGGAGTTCTTGGGATATTCTTTGAAGAGAGTTTTGGGGTGATGTTTGCTGTGGATGAGCTCAGAAGGAGCACAGGAAGGAGAAGATGGAGGTGTAGAGTGAAGATTTTTGGCCCTGCCATTGATTGCAATGGGACTGGGAGAGACTAAGATGCTTGCCAATTAAACTATATATACAATTATTTGACTGAGTGCCGTTATTTTGAGTATTGAGTTAATGTACTTTGTTACTTGTTAGTTAATTTAGTTAATAAATACTTTGAAATTTAATCAATTTAAAAGAAAATTTTTACTCTGAATTCTTATAATGTGGAATTAGAATAAATGTATCTAAAAATTATGTTCACACCAAAATAATACTACTCTAGTTTCAACAAAATAATACTACTCTAGATTAAGAATATTTATTTTTTAATCCTTTGTGATAAAACTTATTTTGAATAATATTCGAAGAACTTTTATAAGGTTGAGACTATATATGATAAAAATTTTAATCAAATTTGAACATTGCTCTAACCCTAATTGAACAAGGATTAGTATTATTTGAAAAACATTTTGATTAATATTCTAATATAGTTTGAATAAGATATTGTTAAGAGAATTTATAAAATTATTGAATTAAATGTTCGAATAAAATTTGTTCAACATTCAAATTTGTTTTAGTGTAAAATAGTTTAATGCAATCACAAGAGTTATAACATAATAGATTATAAAGCAAACTCGTATGATGATAAAATTTTCTCAAGTAGCATTATATTAAATTAAAGCAATCATAATGTTTTGTAGTAACATATTAAGTACAATCATAATAGCTATAATACAGCAAATAAAAACTTTCATGGAACTAAAAGAAATAGCAACATCATAATTATTACGTGCTAGAAAATTTGAGTCGATGGAGTTTATGTTTTACGTCTTAGGTTTTACAAACATTCAGCACTTATAGATAAAAATCATAAGACCATAAACTTTTTACGTGGAAACCCATAAAGGTAAAAAATCACAGGGTCTAGCCCAGTTGCATAATCCACTATGTAGTAAGTGATACAAAGATTTTTCCTTCTTCGTTATTAAGAAGAGATAGAGTACAAAAAATTGAATATTTATACCGAATAAAAGGGGTTAATCTTCCAAGGAAGAATTTTATAAAGTAAGTGTCCACAGGCGGACAAATGTACCCAATAGTAGGGTCCAATCTTGATAATATTCTAGAGATGATGGTTGTTGTTGGTGATAGTAACTGGTGGTTGTCATCAGCAATAGCTGGTGGTCGTCGGCAGTGGCGATGACTAGAAAATGCTATAGAGCTCTCTCTTCTTCTCTTCTCTCCTTTTTTTTCATTTTTTTCTCCTCTCTTCATGTGAAAAATAAGGGTCTATTTATAAGTTTTTGGGAGTGGCATACTCCATAAATATGAAAAAAAATTCTTAGATAAATTAGGAGTGCTTCATCCAACGGTCCATATTGATTCCTTTGATCATGGAGCTTTTGTTAAGCATTTAAGTGCTTTAATGATATCATAATTGAGTGATCTTAGGCTTGTTGGATTCATTTCATCGAACCGCTCGATTCGACTATAAGCATGTCATATTTGGATTTTAATTTATCATCAAATTAATGCTTTTAAACTATTAAATAAGCTTTAGTCATTTGATTCGAGCCCATTTGAACTTGGATTTGACCAATTTTAGTGTCATCGGATTCGTATGGTCGAAATGTTCAGTTTGACTATAAGTTTGTTGAGATTAATGCTCGGATGGTCGCAAATTGAATTTTGATGATTTCCAATTCAAATGTGTCTTGACATTTGTGCTAGATCAATGTGATTTTTATGATGTACTAATAATATAATTATATGCTATAAAATGTATAAATATAATCACATATGTATCACTATAAATTCTCAAAATCTAACAATATTAATGTCAAAATAAAGAGCCTCAATCTGATCACATCTATATCTATAGCTATACTACTATTAAAGTGTCGCTTGTGATTCTCCCCATACATCATCCTGATCGTTCGTCTAAAAAACTTAACTTAATATCCATCATTAAATTTTTTAACTCTATTCATCTACCTTCTTCCATCTTCAAATTGAAATGGCGCATTCCATGTTATCTATCCATCTGCTCGCAAACCAATATTCCACCGTTTTTCCTTTCGTCGTATCAACGCATCCCTACATGAAATGGCACATTCCTTCTTTCATATACTTCCGAACAAATGTCCCTTATTCTGTTCTTGCTATCGTCCATCATTACAACTGTTTGCGCGCCGGATCCAGAAAAGCTCGTTGGATCCAGAAAACATACAGTTTTAAAATGTAAACTAAACAACGCCTTTTTTTAAAATTTCTGCGAATTTTTATAGACATCTGCTCTATTTGTCCTTCAAATTTGGTTTCTTCATCTTCTTCCCGTAATTTTTTCACTCATCGAAGATGCTCGCCCAGGCCACCTGTCTCCGGCGGCGCTTCCCCTTTTCGTTACATTATAATTTTGTTTCCCCTTCATACTCTTCTTTTACATCCCTATGTTTTTTTTCTTCATTGTTTTGTCAATGGAGAAATATATACACTAGGTGGAGGCTAGACAGGATCGATCTGGCACTGACAGCCGTTCGCAAGAGGTAGAGTCCGGACTTGATTCAGCAGCTTGGTACGGTAAGAAGGGGCTAGGCGTTTGAAGTAGTTCAACAATAAGGTGGATAATACAAGTACGTGGAGAAACTTGCTGTAGGGCTCAGCCGAGTGGCAAATTATTGGGTCAGGTGACCGAAGCCATCTCTCCGTTCGGTCGCCAATGGAAATGCGACATCTGTTAGGCGTTTTTTTAATTTATTAATGCAATTTTTTATGGACATCTGCTCTGCTTGTCCTTCGCATTTGGCTTCTTCATCTTCTTCCCGTAATTTTTTCGCTCGTCGAAGCCGCTCGCCTAGGCCACATGTCTCCGGCGCTTCCCCTTTTCATTACATTATAATTTTGTTTCCCCTTCATACTCTTCTTTTACATCACTATGTTTTTTCTTCGTCGTTTTGTCGTTGGAGAAATATCTACACTAGGTGGAGGCTAGACGGGGTCGATCTGGCATTGACACCCGTTCGCAAAAGGTAGAGTCCGGACTTGATTCGGCAGCCTGGCACGGTAAGGAAGGGAATCGGCGTTTGAAGTAGTTCGACAGTAAGGTGGATGATACAAGTGGAGAAACTTGCTGCAGGGCTCAGTCGAGTAGAAGACAATGTGAATGCATGCTTGTATGCTCTCAGGGAGGTTCAGTTGAAGATGTTGGTAGGGTTCAAGCTAAAATTACATGTAAAAGCAAATGAAGACAAATAAGAAAACTCCACAGAGTTGATCCTAGATACCTGAGGCCAATACCATGACAGGGAGGGAATTTGCGACTTTATAGAAAGATGGAGGTAAATCACATCCATAGAGAAGTAATCAATAGGTAATTTTAGCTTTAACCATCATGATCATGATTGCATCTACGAAACTGATGAAGAAATTTCCCTTGGAAATTTCACTTAAATTCTAAGATATCTCCTGACCCATTGTTGTAGTACTTAAATTGCTTCCTAGAACTGTCATCACTTACCTATATCATCCAAGTTAGAACCTAGAACACCACCATTGATCGTTACTACTAATGAATATCCAGAAATGTTTTTAACTCTCTCCAATAATGACTCTTAAAATTTTATTATCATTATGATTCTCTATATCAGAAAATGCATGAGAGTTGAGAAGGTGCAAACACTTTGCTGCATCTAACGTCAAAACAATAAACAAACCTATAGAAAACTTCATGAATATCAAAATAGTGGACGATTTTGTATTATTTGTTCAGTAAAAAAATAATATACATGTGATCTACTATAAGAGAGGTAGATCGGCTCTCCCTCGATCAAACCACAATGTTCATATTGTTATTCCTAAGAAATATAATTCTACAATTTAATCCACAAATATATTCTCATGTATCTACTATCATTATTTCTAAATAAATTTTTTTTAGATTCATTTTGTTATTCCTAAGAAATATACTTATGCAATTAATCCACAAACATCTTCTCATTTATCTACTTTCATTATTTCTAAGTAAATTTTATTTGTTCTTAAGAACAAGCTTTAATTCCAGAGTTCACAAACCTTCACACTAACGCCGTCTAATAAATGGTAACAACTATTTATGTTCTATATGGTCATATACCTAATTATTTTTGTGTTGTATTTGCCCCCCCCCCCTCTCTCAAAATTGAAGATGGTTCCGCCCCTGAACAAGCTTTAATTCCAGAGTTCACAAACCTTCACACTAACGTCCCTAATAAATGGTAACAATTGTTTATGTTCTATATGGTATTATACCAGCTTGTATTTTTATTATTTAAGAATGACAAAGAATTCTAATATTATTAAAATTAATATTTCTTCATTGATATAGGTACATCAAAAAAATCTAACCTTAATTTTGGTATGAAGTGTTTTGCATTGGTTTGATTGTATTGAATTTTTCCTATTGAAATTCAATTTTAAACAATCCAATGTTTTTTTTTTTCAAGACAATTTTTTTTACTAATAAAGATTAATTTATCTTGTATTTCAAGATAATTTTTTTATCTCAAATGCAATGTCTTTTACATTTAATTTATTTATTTTCGTTCAAATATCTGTAAATGCTTTTTATTTTATTTTATTTGTGTTTGTCTTTTTGTTATTGGTGTTCGATGCTATTCCCCAAATCTTTCTTCTTTTATGATATAGCTTGAATTAACTCAATTTGTGTTTTTGCTATTGGTCTTTTTTATTGAATTAGCCTAAAGTTATAATTTCATCAATTTTTATTAATTCTTCAAATAGATGAGCAAATGAGAAAAAATATTGTTCTTTGTTTAGATATAATGTTAGTTATGTTACATTGCTTCTATTAAATTTGCTCATGACTCTCTGATCTTCTATCAAGATGCTTCTTCGTGAGATCTTCTTTGTGCTCGATATTACTCCCGAAAGTTTTATTGTTTTATAATTTACCTTAAAATAAGTTATTTGGTGGTTTGCTTTTCTAATTTTTTTTAATTATGCTCAAATTATTATTTAAACTATAAATATGATTATTTAAATCAATGCCTTATTTTCCATAAATT